GGCTTGATTTTTTGGGAAATAAAATTGAGATAAAAATTTGGTATAATTTTTGGGCTAAATTCGGGTTTGAATCATAAGTTATACAACTCGGACATGAATTCTAGTTGAACTCGATTTCAATAATTTACGTTGATCTTTAAAACTCGACAACCCAATCGTGAATCAGTCGTTTTACTTTGTCAATAATTAAAATTTTAAATATGATTCATCTATTTAAATTCAATTAATACACATGAATTTGAATTCAATTTGTTGTAACATATTTTATTTATCTAATAAAATTGAATTATAATTTAAGTGTAAATCGTTATGATCCAACTTCAATTAATTATTCAAATTAAAATGCACTTGAATTTTTTAAATTGAATTCGAATTCGGCTTAACACAAGTCTTTCTATTGGTAAGCATGGTCCCCAGTGCAGAGCTTCTCTGATCTTGAAAGCGACTGTGTCAACATGAAGATACAAATTCGTTAAAAATACGCCGCGACACATGAATTCTTACACAGCATCCATCCGCACTGGCGAAATGGGGAAGCTTCCGACTACACGATGACCTGGAGTTGGACTGTTGGAGACTTCTCTCTCCCTCTCTGTCTCCATTTGGAGGGAGTTTCAGATCTCCCTCCCTCCAACCAAAGCTCTCTCTCTCTCTCTGGATTCAACCTCAATTGAAGTGACGACATTCGTGTGAATCTTGTTGGTCCTCTTGTTTCTGGAAGAAACAAGCCTCTTCATTCCTGTTGATTTGGCGGGAAATCGCGCTTGTCCTTGTATCAGGTCTTCTCTCTCCATAAACTTAGAGAGAGAGAGAGAGAGAGAGAGAGAGAGAGAGCACACGAAAGTTCAGATAAATTCTTAATCGATTGATATGAATATGCAGTTCGATACTGGTTTGTGTACATAGACTGAGATTTAGTACAGAAAGAGATGGCGGTTTCGGACAACACCAGAGGGTTAATTCTAGCGATCTTGTCGAGCTTGTTCATTGGTGCAAGCTTCATCTTGAAGAACAAAGGCCTCAAGCGTGCTGCTTCTGCTGGTACTCGCGCAGGTTCGAATTGAATATTCAATCCTCTCACTTAGATCTCTACAACTTAGACTGATTGGTCTGTTGTGATTGCCTTTCTAACCTAATCCACATTATCATTTTCTTAAGGAAATTGAATCTGGCTCTCACATTAGTGCCATGCTTTTGATAAGTTGAGGGTATTAAAAGAGGTAAATCCTAATTTTTTTTTCCAACTTTTTAAATTAAAGATCATTATTGAGAGACCTCATGGGAAATGGTGGTTTCTAGTTATGATTCTCCTCAATACATTAGGTATGATTGTTTTTAGTACTCTCAATCCCTAGTATTTCTCACCTCTTTCAGGTTGGACACCAGTTTAACTAAATTGAGCCTATTTTTGAAAAAAAATGTTACATAGAGTTAAGCTCTTATATACTGAAGTAAAATATGTGGAGAGAGCAGCAGTGCCACTGCTGCTCTCTCCACATATTTTACTTCAGTATATAAGAGCTTAACTCTATGTAACATTTTTTTTTCAAAAATAGGCTCAATTTAGTTAAACTGGTGTCCCAACCTGAAAGAGGTGAGAAATACTAGGGATTGAGAGTACTAAAACAATCATACCTAATGTATTGAGGAGAATCATAACTAGAAACCACCATTTCCCATGAGGTCTCTCAATAATGATCTTTAATTTAAAAAGTTGGAAAAAAAAATTAGGATTTACCTCTTTTAATACCCTCAACTTATCAAAAGCATGGCACTAATGTGAGAGCCAGATTCAATTTCCTTAGAAAATGATAATGTGGATTAGGTTAGAAAGGCAATCACAACAGACCAATCAGTCTAAGTTGTAGAGATCTAAGTGAGAGGATTGAATATTCAATTCGAACCTGCGCGAGTACCAGCAGAAGCAGCACGCTTGAGGCCTTTGTTCTTCAAGATGAAGCTTGCACCAATGAACAAGCTCGACAAGATCGCTAGAATTAACCCTCTGGTGTTGTCCGAAACCGCCATCTCTTTCCTGTACTAAATCTCAGTCTATGTACACAAACCAGTATCGAACTGCATATTCATATCAATCGATTAGATTTATCTGAACTTTCGTGTGCTCTCTCTCTCTCTCTCTCTCTCTCTCTCTCTCTAAGTTTATGGAGAGAGAGACCTGATACAAGGACAAGCGCGATTTCCCGCCAAATCAACAGGAATGAAGAGGCTTGTTTCTTCCAGAAACAAGAGGACCAACAAGATTCACACGAATGTCGTCACTTCAATTGAGGTTGAATCCAGAGAGAGAGAGAGAGCTTTGTGTTGGAGGGAGGGAGATCTGAAACTCCCTCCAAATGGAGACGAGAGGGAGAGAGAAGTCTCCAACAGTCCAACTCCAGGTCATCGTGTAGTCGGAAGCTTCCCATTTCGCCAGTGCGGATGGATGCTGTGTAAGAATTCCATGTGTCGCGGCGTATTTTTAACGAATTTGTATCTTCATGTTGACACAGTCGCTTTCAAGATCAGAGAAGCTCTGCACTGGGACCATGCTTACCAATAGAAAGACTTGTGTTAAGCCGAATTCGAATTCAATTTAAAAAATTCAAGTGCATTTTAATTTGAATATTTAATTGAGTTGGATCATAACGATTTACACTTAAATTATAATTCAATTTTATTAGATAAATAAAATATGTTACAACAAATTGAATTCAAATTCATGTGTATTAATTGATTTAATTAGATTGAATCATATTTAAAATTTTAATTATTGACAAAGTAAAACGACTGATTCACGATTGGGTTGTCGAGTTTTAAAGACTCAACGTAAATTATTGAATCGAGTTCAACTAGAATTCATGTCCGAGTTGTATAACTTATGATTCAAACCCGAATTTAGCCCAAAAATTATACCAAATTTTTATCTCAATTTTATTTCCCAAAAATCAAGCCCA